GAAATACGTGAACCAGAGAGAGAGAGAGAGCAGACGGATCTTACGGGACAAGAGAGAGACTGTGATAAGACCTATGGAAGGAAGACTACGTAACAATATGACAGACTCTGGTCAACATTCCCAGCGCAAGTGTGAAGGGTGTGAGAACGACAGTGTGGAGCGTGAAGGGTTTTTATGAATGGCGCTCACCGAAATAAGCACGGTAAAACAAATTGTAACACTAAAGGCGTGATAAGAGAATATAGGAAATGTGAATAGCCCAGGGCAGAAGGGGGAAGATTCTACAATTTTCAGCAACAAGTCTGGTCAAAGGATCGGCTTCACTTGTCTCTTTGACGAGTTGTTGTGTGGTGCTAAGAATGGCGAAACTCACTGACGATGCCGGCGAAACGTCTGGGAATCAACCACGTCCACGGTCCTACTCTGGAACTGATGGCGCAGACAATGGAATCAAGGACTAGGTGCGTTCCTCTAAGTCTTCCTACCAATATGACCAAGCCGCGAAAACAAGGTCAAACAACTTATATATAACAAAAGGAGACTGCGTCCACACAAAAGGTCACACCATCTTGGTCTTCATACCTTAGACTCATAGAAAGTTGCTAACTAAAGCCGCAGATATTGCTAGTCTCACTCGATGGGCTCAAGTAGGAGGCAAATAGTGAGAGTAGCTGCAACACTGATATTAATAGTCGTTTTTGTGTTAGCTGGAATAGTAATTATTGTTATTATTCTTTTATTTTTAGTAGTAGTTGTTATAAAAGTAGTATATTAATATTAGTGATGATAGTAAAACATACTATGTATAATAATATCAGAAATTATTATTATTATGTTTTCGGTTTGACTTTGTTTTCACAGCTTGTTCGGAGCGTCAGGGAGACCTTGTGGAACGTGCCTACTGCCGTGTCCTCTGCCATAGTATTCGTAATTTTCAGCATTGGACCATTGGCTAGGTACATTCCAAAGTTGCGAAAATAAGGTCGAGCCAACAACATTATAAAGCTTAAGGAGACGGCGACCAATCAGAAAGCCACAGAATCTTGGTCTTCATATCAACGAACTAATAATTATTGTTATTATTATTACTGCTATTACTACGATAGTAGTAGTAGTAGTAGTAGTACTAGTAGTACTAGTACTAGTAGGATTGATGTAAAAGTAGATCCGAGAAGATGGTCTGTATAGCATCATGCGAGTTTAAGCAGGCAATTCTGATTGTTATTTGCAATAAAAAAACTCAATGTACACATAGCCAATCCATTAAACTGGTTATGTCAGTGAAGACAGATGGAAATGTACACCACAAAGATGCAAAAACAGCTCACTTGGAGTGGAATTTAAGCCAAATAGCCCCAGATTCGTTGGAGCTAACGCGGTGGCATTGGAAGAAGCGGAGGAATTCGGCACCGAGGGCTGACTCCTTGTGGAAACAGTGGGAGTGGCGTTGATTATAGTTTCTTCACCATCATAATTCTCCAAACTTGGCAGATCTCTACTCAAACCGCCCTCAAGGTGTCGCAATTGATTGTACGCTGAGGCGGCTACATCGATGAGACCGATTACCTGTGCAATGTTGTCGTCGGCCCGAGACGACCGGTAAACAGTACAGGACAGATATAGGCATAAAGATTTGTAGAATGCACACAGAGACTTGTGTGAAAAACAATATCCCAGTTAATAATCAAAGAAATAAGTCATAAAAATAAAAGAATTTCGGGAAGCTCAGTTGCAGAGGCTTTGCTGTTGTCGCTAAAGGGTCTGGATGTCGGTATGATGAAATCCAAAAGATGAAGTGCATAGAGTGCTCTTTAAGCGCACCCAAATTAGCGTTCCAGGATGGACCACAAAGCCGAGGTCTCCGAGATCGCACCAAAAATACAAACAGCGCCAAAGGCCGAATGTCGCAGGAGACTTGAATCACAGCCGATGTGTGCGTAAAATGACTAAAGGTGAAGTTTTCACGGGCTAACTTGCTTCTAGCATTAAAATAAACATTTTTATGAAGCAGAAAGGTCTAAATTGGAATGTAAGAAATACC